TGGAAAAAGGAAAAACTCTTATACAGCATACATCAAGCCAAACTTGCATCGATCTAATTTAAGAGTGGTGACTTCAGCACTGGTTACTAAGGTAGTGTCATATAAACGTCTAACACAGTTTTAAAACTTCGAATCTCTATGGGTTTGTACTTTAAACACCTGGATTTTCACTGAAAATACTCGGAATAACACGGGATTTTATGCAGATTTTAGTTAAAACTGCCAGCGAGTAGCACTAGAAGAGACGTGCCCACCTGTGACGGAGTAGATAAAACCACAGAACACCAGTAATTGATCGCGAGTTTGCGCCTGATTCAACAGGCTGGCTGAGTAGGCTTTTCGAGTTTTCAACGTGGGGTTAATGCAAGGACCACTCATAATGGCTTGATAAAAAACGCCTCTCTTAGTGCCCATGGGGCAGAAATTAAATTGTATTTCCGTAAAAAACACGTGTTTAAAGTCAAAATTTACCGAGATGAATTTTTAAAAGTTGTGTTTGACGTTGGTATTGCCTTCTATATATTCCATATTTATAAGAAGGCCCTAAATTTTCCAAATTTGTTCTTTAATTAGATATTAATAGATGAATTTAAAGAAGCGAAAGGAGTGAGTTACGAATATTTTAACGTTACAAAAATAGTATACGCTAGAAAAGAAATAATCATCTCTGCCGGAACAGTTAACACTGCAAAACTGCTTATGCTGTCTGGAATAGGGCCTCGCCAGCACTTACACGAATTAGGAGTAAGTAGAAATGGGTAAAAAGTAGATATAAATTTTTTATTTCTTGTATTAATAATCTAAATAAGTTGCCTGTTTTTAGATTCCAGTCGTAGCCGATTTGCCTGTCGGAAAGAATTTTCATGACCATGTCACCACTTCTGTCATTTTTACAATAGATAAACCATATTCTTTACACGCGCTATCACTCACGCCAAAAGATATTACGGACTATAAAGTTCATGGAAGAGGTAGGATTTTCAATAGTTATAAATTTATAAATACGGGATGGCCCATCAACTGAACCATCAGTTACATATACAAATCTTACTCAAATTGGTGTTTAGAGCCAGATTACAATATGTGAAATTGGACGTATATTGAAAACATTGTAACAAAAGATATTTGAGAAAGATTTGTATATCTATTGTAATAAGCTTGGTAGGCCATCCTGTGACATATCTTATTAACTTTTATCTAAATTACAGGTCGTTTGACTTCCTTAGCTGGGATGGAAGTCTTAGGATTCTTGAGGACTTCCGTAGAAAAGGAAGGTTGGTCGGATATTTTAGTTGCCATTGCGGCAAATTCATTATTATCTGATACAGGTTTGCCTCTTCTTACACCTCAAGTGGGTCTTAGAAAAGATGTAAGTGTTTTTAAATTATCTTTTTTTGAAAAATTATATACAGAAAGTCCGAAAGACAGTTAACTGTGTAAATCTCTCAAACATGGTATCAAATATTACAGGTATACATCAATGCATTTAGCAGGTATAAATTCAAACATACTATTTCCTGTACCCCAATTTTTGTACGTCCGAAAAGTCGCGGTATCGTTAAATTGAAGTCTGACGATCCCTTTGATCAGCCCATAATTAATACCAACTATTTTGCCAAAATAGAAGATCTCCTGTCTTTAATAGAAGGTAGGGACCTGAATTCTTTACTGTATTTAGTCAATTGTCTTACAAATTATACATTGTAGGTGTGAAATTCTGCAAAGCCTTCGGGAGGACACATTCCATGAGAGAAGTTGGGACGAAGGAAATTAAATCTGTATTCCCTATGTGTGATCATTTCCCTTACAACAGCGACGAATACTTGGCGTGTGTGTTAAGAGTATTCACAGGTAGCCTTTACCACGGTAGCGGTACTTGTAAGATGGGCGATCCTTACGATCCTAGGACAGTTGTAGATCCAAGTCTAAGGTAAGAAGAAACTTGGATTTATGAAGAACATTTTGTATTAAAATTAATTAATCACACATTATTATTTCAGAGTAAAAGGCATAAGGAATTTGAGAGTGGCAGATTGTTCGGTGATGCCTACTCTAGTGGGAGCATTGCCTCATGCAACGGCTGTCATGATTGGTGAAAAGGCAGCGGATTTAATTCGTCTTGAACCTTATAGTTGACCTTTATAGTTTTTATTCATTTCATTGTGTTTACATGCAAACAACAAACAATAACATGTATATACAGAATGAATTTTGATTATACTGTATACTGTAATTTGTAAATTCGCGGCCATTTTAAGATATTATGAGGCTTCTAGCTTAATGTCATCACACAAATATGGATGTAGAATAAAAACAGTAATAAACCTGAAACAATACAGGACCGGTGTTTTTACTTGTCCGTTTCATAACATTCTGTCCTTCCACTTTTAATTCACTTCGTATTGAATCAGGTAAGGTAACTATGGGCGATCTGCAAGGAGAAGGTGCCTCCTGAAAGGACTTTCTACGGGAAATTGGGCCCTGTTAAGGTGTTAGACACGTGGCCGAAAATCAGGAGAGTTCTAGGACGACATGGAGAAAAACAGTAAATAAAATTAGATTTTAAATTAATTTTTTTTACTTTTTAGAATTTCATGGAGTAGGAGGTCCATTGACTGTTTCTCATTCGCCGTATTACAGTCCATTACTGAAAAATTTTTTGGGTGCAATCAAAGAGATGGGTCTACCCATACGTGATTTTAATACAGATCGACACGATTGTGAGTAATCAATTTAATTATGTAAGGTATATCTTTGTACTCCTGTATATAAGAGAAATGAGGTACCACAGAAATCCTCCGTGCACAATTGAACTGTATGGCATATTGCAAAAAATTCCATGATTTTCAACAGATGTTATGAAGTGTTTCTGTTTCGTATCCACTGAATACGGATGAGGACGTAGAGGAGTAAATAAATAAAATAAAACCCATTGATTTGCCAAAAAAATATGCCCTTATTAAAAACCAGAACTTTAATGGTTTTCAATATGGTTCCTTCTGATCAATGAAGATTTTTAATGTGTCGGGAAGGGTTTCTTGTAATACCCACCTAATTTAGCGCTTTTTAAATGCATTTTACGGATTCAAGGGTATTGTAATATATCGAGAATATCATTGGTAATAAACGTAATTGTTTATTTGTATAAAACAATACGACAAGTGAGCAATCTGCCGAGGGTTATTCTCTGAAGGAATTTCTATGGGAAATTAAATTTCCTCGCCATGATTTGCCTGGCATATAAATTAATATTACGGTACATAACTGTGTTATGCAATATAAGCAATTCTCAGTAAATTATTTGCATTTGTTCTTTGTTTTACAGCATTTTATATCAGTCAAGGGACCATCGAACATGGAAAAAGGAAAAACTCTTATACAGCATACATCAAGCCAAACTTGCATCGATCTAATTTAAGAGTGGTGACTTCAGCACTGGTTACTAAGGTAGTGTCATATAAACGTCTAACACAGTTTTAAAACTTCGAATCTCTATGGGTTTGTACTTTAAACACCTGGATTTTCACTGAAAATACTCGGAATAACACGGGATTTTATGCAGATTTTAGTTAAAACTGCCAGCGAGTAGCACTAGAAGAGACGTGCCCACCTGTGACGGAGTAGATAAAACCACAGAACACCAGTAATTGATCGCGGGTTTGCGCCTGATTCAACAGGCTGGCTGAGTAGGCTTTTCGAGTTTTCAACGTGGGGTTAATGCAAGGACCACTCATAATGGCTTGAAAAAAAACGCCTCTCTTAGTGTCCGTTGGGCAGAAATTAAATTGTATTTCCGTAAAAACCACGTGTTTAAAGTCAAAATTTACCGAGATGAATTTATAAAAGTTGTGTTTGACGTTGGTATTGCCTTCTATATATTCCATATTTATAAGAAGGCCCTAAATTTTCCACATTTCTTCTTTAATTAGATATTAATAGATGAATTTAAACAAGCGAAAGGAGTGAGTTACGAATATTTTAACGTTACAAAAATAGTATACGCTAGAAAAGAAATAATCATCTCTGCCGGAACAGTTAACACTGCAAAACTGCTTATGCTGTCTGGAATAGGGCCTCGCCAGCACTTACACGAATTAGGAGTAAGTAGAAATGGGTAAAAAGTAGATATAAATTTTTTATTTCTTGTATTAATAATCTAAATAAGTTGCCTGTTTTTAGATTCCAGTCGTAGCCGATTTGCCTGTCGGAAAGAATTTTCATGACCATGTCACCACTTCTGTCATTTTTACAATAGATAAACCATATTCTTTACACGCGCTATCACTCACGCCAAAAGATATTACGGACTATAAAGTTCATGGAAGAGGTAGGATTTTCAATAGTTAAAAATGGATAAAACGGGATGGAGTATACATTGCCATCAACTGAACCATAAGTTACATATACAAATCTTACTCAAATTGGCATTTATAGCCAGAATACAATATGCTCGATAAGTTTGCCTTCAAGTTTAATGTATATTCTTGAGTTGGGTTTGATTGGATCGATGGGATGAGGCAACGCAACACTTGGTATCTGCCAGGGAGGAACTCCTCTCTGGCAGATACCAA